AGATGTGATATTAGATCCATACCAGTGTGTTAGAAAAAGTAGTCAAGGCTTAGGAAAATCGAAAACTTATAAAGGGTATGTAATCCCTAACAATGACACTCTCTTATTTTTTCTCCCTTTTGGAATGTTAAATATACAATTAAAAGCATTTTTCTACATTTCGTCAAATGCAAAAAACATCTGTTAATCCTGCCAGAAATCCAGCTCATGGCTTCCAGTAGAGAGTTGACAATTTTTGTGCTATACTGAAATTCCATGCAGTGGAATTACAGACCTTCCCCCTAATGGAAATGAGGAAATGGGGAGGTGGTCTGTAGTCCAAATCAGAAGCAGATAGATACAGTACATCCATAGGGAGGAGTTTCCAGTGCTGATGTCACGCCACTGCGTCATCCCGGGTCGGCAGCAGCTATACCTGTAAGCTGATTTTTACCATTAGTGGGAATGTTTTTATCTAAATTTTAATAAAGGAGTACACTATTGGAATCTTATTTGCTCCCTGGTGAGCCTTATTTTGCCCTAGCCCGGCTCTGTTTAGTGGTATCTGTGGACACAGCTGTGGCGCAACAACACACAAACACATGGGTGCATAAGCTGTTGTAATGACAGCCATCAACTCCGATGAGTTTTGAATTCAGGGGGGAAACAGTGTTGGATCTTTGAATTTTTCACAGCAAGCAATATCACTATGGCTATGGCGGTGGATTGATTCTTTCAAGTTTTCACATCTGGACTTTCTATTTTGTGGACTATATTGTCATATTGGGTATATAATTTTTTTGGTTCACAAGTTAGTGCATATTTTAAAGGCACTACACTCTTTGCTTTTATACATATTGATATAGGTTTGGTATACTACCTGTTGGTGAAAGCTGCCATATATTATTTGATACAGTGCGGATATAATTTTTGATTTTGTTTAACTTTTGTGCTATACTGAAATTCCAAGCAGCAGAATTACAGATCTCCCCCCTAATGGAGATGAGGAAAAGGGGAGGTGGTCTGTAGTCCAAATTAGAAGCAGATAGATACAGTACATTCATAGATACAGTACAGTGAGCGAGCTTTACATACCTAGTACAGGTGGTGTGTCATTGTCAGGATCACCAGGAAAAAATTAAAGGAAAAAAAAGCCTGAAAATAGAAAACTATTGCATCTACCTCATCTTAGAACTGGTAAGCTGCACTATATTATATTTTTGCATGTGGGAATGGATATATTAGGGCTTTGTGCAAAATTGTGTGGATTCTCAATGGTAAGTGTATATGCTCAACAAAGATGCCGAGTCAATGGCATGCCTTATGTTGAACAAGGAAACCTCAAAGGAAAGGTTGCAATTTTCCATCAAGGCACTCCCAAGCCATATTGTCTTATTCCACTGGAGAAAACTGGCTGAGAAAAAAGCTACTACAACTGAACATGAATAGTATCAGGTGGTGTTCAGGCAGATGCTTGGGATTCAAGGCAGGAACAAAGTCAGTCCAAAATTCAGGCTAAAATTACATAGGTTATATTTAGTAGACATGCTACTAAAATACTAAAATCTGTAGAGATCAGTTAATAGGGATCGCTCACCACTCAAGGGAATTAACCATTAGTAATTTTAGTAGCTTGACTAAGGTACTAAACCGTGCTTCTGGCGTTCTAGTTTTAGGGATTGTATTTGCAAACCGCAAGTTTTAAGCAGCTTTGCCAAAGCCTTTCGCAAAAATCACTCTCTGTATGGCAATGTTAAACATATTCAGCTTTCCCAAAGAAAGAGATAGACATAGGGCAAAGGATTAGTCACCAGTATCTTTCCGACATGACTGACTTACCACGTTTTGTTTTACACTATGTGGAGGATAGGAACTTGGTAAAGGCAGGGTTTTGCTCTCCCCAGCATGTAGACACAATGAGCTGCACAGTAGAGAAAATACCAAACTCATTCTAACTCTATGTTAATTAAATACTATCTCCTGGCAAAAATGAAAACCCCTCCCACTGTTCCCTCTTACCTCCATCTTGCCCATTCAGCATTTTTTATATCTACCTATGCCTGCTACCAGGGTCTCTCACCATGGGTTGGGATGTGGGAACTGGTAATCCAGTGATGAAGATGGTTAATCCTTGATGGTCTCCTTTTGCTGACTCCTCTTTTGAACCCTGAGATGACCTTGCTCCTGGGCATTCAAAAGTAAGTATCCACACCATTTGGACACCTGAAGAAGCACCCCGCCTTCTGTACACAGAAGAAAAGAACAGACTTGGTTAATTGTGCTTAAGCAGTACCCAAAATATTTCCTTCTGAAAAGCTTTCCCCAGAAAAATAGCAGTATATTTCCTGTCTTTAGACACTCCTATGCCTACAACCTCATAACTGAAGATTTGTATATAAGAGTATTGTGCATCTGATTGCTAGTCTCACAAGATTCTGAGAAATATTTGGCGATGTCACAACTCTACTGCTCACTGTTCTCCTTGCTGGAGAGTAAGCTGCCATGTGATGATATCTCTGTTTTTGTTTTATGTACTCTGTTGGTCTGTGCTTTCTTTATCTCTCTTGTGGCTTTGTGAATGTTCCATGACCAATCATTAAATTACATTTACTAGTCATCTGGGGAGCAGCTCTGAAAGCAAACCCCTGCCTCTACCAAAATGGCCACCTCTACACAGAGACATAATGTATAATAAATAATGGTAAGTCATTAAATGGGAAAAGATCACTTGCAGGGAGCCTGTAGGCAACTCCGGGCACATGTCAACGGTTTCAACATAAGAGGTAAACACCATTATTATTGGTCTAAAGTCACTTGGTGTATTGATACAATATTAAAACAGTTATTAAACTAATATTATTTGCAATTTCGGAGACCATGTATTTTTTTTTAAATCTTTTTGTAGACTGGTGCGAATTTCAGCAGCAGGAATCTTCTGATTCCTGTGTGGCTGTGTGTGGCTAGGTGCAGCCCCGGCCCCGTTCACTATAATGACAGGTCACTGTTGGCCGCAGCTATTCATGACTGTCCGTATAGCCAATGGTTACCTGTGGTGATCACTGCTGGATGCACACAAAGTATACCTTAATTTATATTTATAGACTTATGACCTCTATTTCCAGGAAAAAGATATACCATTTAATGACAATATTTATGTTTTCAAAATGATGTATTTACTGTTTTGCATGTGTCACTTGCACAGATGAGCAACATGCTACCACAAAAGATCTGCTGATAAGATTAAATAAATGGACTGTTACTATCCCAGGGAAAAGAATGGCAGGAATTTTGTTTTATAAATCACCAACAGCTAGAATTAGGAGCTGACTAGGAGTGAGCCCACAGCATGCTAGCTAGCACCTGGAGAGATGTTGCAATCACTGCGTTGTGCAACTGGCCACTGGTCATGGCTTCACAGCAGACCTGCCGATCAATATTTGGACGCTCAGCAACACAGGTGGAGGAGAGATACAGTATTTACGAATAATATTCAAACGCTATATGCACAGTTTCATTGGACACACAACTGCTCAGTGACATTCCTATCAATGTCCTCATATCCTCTTTGCCAAAGAGGAATAAGAAATTGATTTGCAATACTGAGTGTTTAAATGTTATTTACATCAAATGAAAAAGCAGCATTTTCATTTTCTATGGTCTGCAAAATAAAACTATTATTTGGATTTTTTTTTTACAAAGTTAGAATTTCTTGTAAAATTGTCTTAGGACAAATCATGCAACCCAGAATCATTTTCATGCATGTGCAATCTAAACCAGCCACTTGATTCAGCCTCTCTACTATGAGGGAGTGATTTTACCATGAGGGTCTTTGTTTAGGCACTTTATGTGCTATATAGTAACAAACCCTGTCCATATCTCACAGTGGTCCCCTTGTGATGGTCCACTGTTGTCACTGGGGATAAACTCAAGGTTCAGACCAAACTTTGGCTGTCCATCTGAATTCTGGACTATTTGCTCATTCGACAGCAGACGAACAGCAGATATAGTAGGGGTATTACTACCGTTACTATATGACAGCTGCATTTCAATGGTTGTTAAAGAAGCAGAGGGGGCTAACAACCAGTGACATCATCAATTCCATTGCTTTACTGGCCTGGAATCCCTGGCCATGTAAACAAAGGGGGTGGGGGGGATAGTGCTGATATCTCTGACCAAGGCCATTTTTTTGTGCAATGACTCTGACATCGCCTGGGAGACATTGCTCCTTTGTTTACTAGCAGGAACTGGAAAATGTAATTCGGTGTGAGTGAGTGACAGGAGCTCATCAATTGTGTACATTATGGGACTTTTTTATGAATGAGTAGGGGTACTTTAGTAGCCCTTATTTATTCACATGGAGAAACAGTATCTGGGGCCCACTTATCTAATGGGGGCTTCCAGATTCAAATAAACCCCTCACCTGCAGAATTTCACAACCACCACAGTCAGGAATGGGGGGGGAGGATGCCCTTGCCCTCATCAACAAGGTACCCCCCTAAGTTGAGGGCATGTGGCCTGTTATGCCTTAGCAGCCAGGCTGCATGCTGTGGTAAGGGTTTGATATGGATTATTGGGTGAACTCACATTTTTTTCTTGTTTTTTTTTTCCATTGGCGTTCCCATATCCAAAGGGTCTGGAAAGGAATTTGGGGGGGACTGCATGCAGTTTTTTTTTGGCTGGGGTCCCCCTTGAGTTCCTTACCAGACCCTCATTAAGGATAAGAGTCTTGTTTATATCTTAGGGGGGGGGGGGGGTTGCGTGTAGGGTCCCCCATGAACATCCATACCAGACCCTAATCTAAGACAAGGGTCTCATATAGATGAACTGATATATATTTTGTTTAAAACACAAGTAAAGGCCCAAAGCTGTCTTTTAACTTTTATGTTTAACTGCTTCCCGATCGCCCTATAGCAGAAATACTGCTACAGGGCGGCACATGTGCACAAAATCATGTATATATACAGTATGTGATTTCGCATTTCCGGGTTCTGGGTTCTGGAGTGTTTGCGAGCCATGTGTGTGCCCTACTCGTGCCGCCATTCACTGCTGCAGCTGTCAATCACCGGGTCCCTGCCAGTGATTGCTCGCCGGTGCTTTGTGATTACCGAGGATCTCCGACGGGGAGGAGAACTGTTTTGTTAACCTCCTTGGCGGTGTTCCCGAGTGTAGCTCGGGGTAGAATTTCTATACCAAGAATGGTAACCCCGAGCTACACTCGGGCTTACCATGCAGCGTTCTCTGGGGGTCCCTGCAGCACTTACCTTGTCCTTCGCTCCCACGATGGGTCCCCTGCAGTGTCCCCGTCCATCTCCTCCGGCGGATGCCGGCATCTGGCTTCCGTGTTTCCGGTCCCCGTGATGTCGGAACGTTCAGGCGGCGGAACCGGCGGGAAATTTGAAATTTTTAAAAAATGACATTTTTGCTGTCATTGCTGTTTCACTGCATTTCACATACGTTTTGTCCCCACTGCTTTGTCCTGTGCCCTGCCTGCATTTTGACTGTTCTTTCTGCCTGGAAACTTAGAAAAGTCCATGGCGGCCAAAAAGCGTCCCTTTACGTCAAAAGCGGTTTTAGAACAGCGATAGTAAATCAGAACCACTTGCAGAATTGAGTGATAATGATTTGTGGGGAAATTCGTCATCAGACACTGAAAACGATTTTGCGACTTTGCTCAGCGATGTGCGAATTTGCCTCTGTATTTCAAATTTCAGTGTTTTTGGTTTGATTATATTATTGAATTAAATTTATTATTATTATATTAATATTTTTTATGATTATTTATTAAATTATAATTTATGATTTCGTGTTTCAAGTTTTATCATATCCGGAATGTTTAATAGACTCTTTTTCGGATAGATTTCAGTGAGTTATTCCTAAAAATTACAGCCTACAATTAAAAACTACATATTTCCATGCAAAAAAATGGTACCGCTTTCAGCACAAAATTCCTGACATGATCATACCGCCAGGGAGGTTAACTAACAGTTCTCCTCCCTGTCAGCTCGGGCACATTGCTTTGGATGGCCGTGCACAGCACAGCCATCCAAAGCAGGGTGCTTACAGTGAAGCACACTGACACGGCCCCCTAGTAAAACACTCCCTGCACAAAGTTAACCCTTTGATCGCCCCTCATGTTAACCCCTTCCTGCCCAGTGTCATTAGTACATTGTCAGTACTTTTTTTTTAGCACTGATCACTATATTGGTGTCACTGGGGATGTCAGAGACACCAAGTCAGTTCCCCCCAGTGTCAGAATGTCCACCGCAGTCCCGCTATAAGTCACTGATCACTGCCCAAAAATTCCAGTATCTATACCGCCATTTGTAAACGCTATAACTTTCATGTAAATCGATTAATCTACACGTATTGGGATTTTTTTTTAGCAAAGACATGTAGCAGAATACATTTTGGCCTAAATTTATGACAAAATTTAATTTTTTACATTTTTTACTGGACATGTTTTATAGCAAAAGTCAAAAATATTGTTTTTTTCTCAAAATTGTTGGTCTTTTTTTTTTATAGAGTGCAAGAAATAAAAAATGCACAGGCAATCAAATAGCACCAAAATAAAGCTAAATTCATGGGAAAAAAAGGATGTTAATTACATTTGGGTGCAGAGCTGCATGACTGCGCAATTGTCACTTAAAGTAACGCAGCGCCGTAACACAAAAATTGCCTGGTCAGGAAGGGGGGGGGGTAAATTCTCAGGAGGGCAAGTGGTTAAATAGCATCTGTTTTGTGAATGTCAGTTTTACAGTAGTAGGTTGTGTACATCATACAGATGTGCTACTGTCAGCTTAAGAGCAACCCTCCAGGAATGCTATTTAAAGAAATTTAAAATTTTTAGAGCCTGTTCACACCAGCTTTGGTGGGATTGTGCTGCACAGGTATTTCCACTGCAGGACAAGGAACAATGCCCTGGCTTCTACCAGTACAGTTCACACTACTCAGCTGCAGTTAATGTAGTAATTTTTTTAGTGCAATGCAGCGTGACACAATTCCCCACCATTCACCACACTGTGGCCAATAGAACTTAATAAAATGTCACTTTCTGATATTACAATAAAATTCACTTAACCTCCCTAGCGGTATGATAATGTCCATATTTCTGTGCTCAAAGTGGTACATTTTTTTTGCATGGAAATATGTAATTTTTTATTGTAGGCCTGTCATTTTTAGGAATAACTCACTGAAATCTGTCCGAACAAGAGTCTAGTAAACATCCCCGGTATGATAAAATTTGAAACACGAAATCATAAATTATAATTTAATAAATAATCATAAAAAATAATAATATAATAATACATTTAATTCAATAATATATTCAAACCAAAAACACTGAAATTTGAAATATAGCTCCAAGTTCGCACATCACTGAGCAAAGTCGCAAAATCGTTTTCAGTGTCTGATGACGAATTTCCCCACAAATCATTATCACTCAATTCTGCAAGTGGTTCTGATTTACTATCGCTGTTCTAAAACCGCTTTTGACGTAAAGGGACGCTTTTTGGCCGCCATGGACTTTTCTAAGTTTCCAGGCAGAAAGAACAGTCAAAATGCAGGCAGGGCACAGGACAAAGCAGTGGGGACAAAACGTATGTGAAATGCAGTGAAACAGCAATGACAGCAAAAATGTCATTTTTTAAAAATTTCAAATTTCCCGCCGGTTCCGCCGCCTGAACGTTCCGACATCACGGGGACCGGAAACACGGAAGCCAGATGCCGGCATCCGCCGGAGGAGATGGACGGGGACACTGCAGGGGACCCATCGTGGGAGCGAAGGACAAGGTAAGTGCTGCAGGGACCCCCAGAGAACGCTGCATGGTAAGCCCGAGTGTAGCTCGGGGTTACCATTCTTGGTATAGAAATTCTACCCCGAGCTACACTCGGGAACACCGCCAAGGAGGTTAACAAAACAGTTCTCCTCCCCGTCGGAGATCCTCGGTAATCACAAAGCACCGGCGAGCAATCACTGGCAGGGACCCGGTGATTGACAGCTGCAGCAGTGAATGGCGGCACGAGTAGGGCACACACATGGCTCGCAAACACTCCAGAACCCAGAACCCGGAAATGCGAAATCACATACTGTATATATACATGATTTTGTGCACATGTGCCGCCCTGTAGCAGTATTTCTGCTATAGGGCGATCGGGAAGCAGTTAAACATAAAAGTTAAAAGACAGCTTTGGGCCTTTACTTGTGTTTTAAACAAAATATATATCAGTTCATCTATATGAGACCCTTGTCTTAGATTAGGGTCTGGTATGGATGTTCATGGGGGACCCTACACGCAACCCCCCCCCCCTTAAGATATAAACAAGACTCTTATCCTTAATGAGGGTCTGGTAAGGAACTCAAGGGGGACCCCAGCCAAAAAAAAAACTGCATGCAGTCCCCCAAATTCCTTTCCAGACCCTTTGGATATGGGAACGCCAATGGAAAAAAAACAAGAAAAAAATGTGAGTTCACCCAATAATCCATATCAAACCCTTACCACAGCATGCAGCCTGGCTGCTAAGGCATAACAGGCCACATGCCCTCAACTTAGGGGGGTACCTTGTTGATGAGGGCAAGGGCATCCTCCCCCCCCATTCCTGACTGTGGTGGTTGTGAAATTCTGCAGGTGAGGGGTTTATTTGAATCTGGAAGCCCCCATTAGATAAGTGGGCCCCACTTCCTTACGAATCATTATCACTCAATTCTGCAAGTAGTTCTAATTTACTATCGCTCTTCTCTAGCTGGTCTAAAACTGCTTTGGACCTAAAGGGATGCTTTTTGGACGCCATGGACGTTTCTCAGTTTCCAGGCAGAAAGAACAGTAAAAATGCAGGCAGGGCACAGGACAAAGCACTAGGGACAAAATTTATGTGAAATGGTTTGATACAGTAATGTTTTACTATGTGATTTTAGTGAATGTCACTTTTTGTACTTTTCAAATTTCCTGCCATTTCCATCCCCCGTACGTCCCAAAGCCGCAGGGGACAGAACCCAGAAGACAGATGCCGGCATCCGCCAGAGAACATTGCTGTGGACACTGCAGGAGGGACTTTGCAGGAGCACAGGACAAGGTAAGAGAAGAACAGATCCTGGAGCAGCGCCGCATGCTAAGCCCGAGTGTAGCTCGGGGTTACTGATTTTGGTACTGAAACTTTACCCCGAGCTACACTCGGGAATACCGCCAGGGAGGTTAAAAGCAGAAAAAAAAAAGATGCTCCAGGATCCAGTACACCAGCAACTGTATTCTATTGCAATTGCTGGTGTGAACGGGCCTTTAATATTTCACTCAAAGCACTTGTAAAATCATGGATTTCCACCAAACTGAATTTCTTGTTAAGTTTGTTTTGTTTTGATGCACATTCTCCAGAGCAGTGCCCAGCCACACATGCCATTTGATTGACAAGCTGTTGCCTATTAGCCTAGAAATGGTCATTACTGGTTTTTAACATTAGACTCTCGTTGACTTCAACAGAGTTCAAATTTAGTAATTGAACTTCAATAAAGTTTGCTGAATCTTCCTCAAACCTAACCAGGGTATGTTTGACCCATTTCCAGTTGTCACTATCAGGAAACTTACACTGAGAAATGACTTGTAGTCATCACTGGAGTGAATGCATAAAAAAAATAGTGAAAACGTGTTTTTTACATAAAAAATGGCATTTATGATAAACAGTGCTTTGGCAAACTAAGGTGTCCGTTTATGAACCAGCGTTAAATGTCATAAACGGACACCTAAATGGCATAGAGTTTCCGTCTACTTCACATATGGCAGTTAGCTAATAATTACTTACAACTGACTGTTTGTCTTGTTAAGACAGGGAAAGTTATGTACTGATATCCGATGATGTGGTGATGAAATCAGCAGTTACATTGTATGAACAAAAGAAAAACTTGTTAACAGATGATGTTACTTAAAAGAAAGGTATGTCTTACTCAGGGGCGGACTGACAACTCACGGGGCCCCCGGGCAATAGGGGATTATGGGGCCCCTGTGTCCTTGCCCACACCCAAAAAAGCCTATGAAAAAGCCAATAAAAGGTACCAGGGGCATCTCATGGGCCCCCTACTGACCCCAGACCCTTGGGCAATGCCCGAGTGCTCAAATGGTCAGTCCGCCCCTGGGCTTAGCTTTGCCCTATAAAACACAAAATCATAGACCACACAGAATAATAATTTTCACTTACAGTATCTCTAAAAAAACGAATATTTAGAAACTAAGCAGTAAAGGAAATTCTCATTTTCATAGCCATTGCTAATATTTTTTTTTTAATTTTCTAATTTTACACTAAACTAACTGAATTACTAAAGTAGTACAAGATGCCAAGATACTTGTTTGTGTCAAAATCAGGGTCACAGTGACCAAAGGCTTCCAAATTTTACTGCTGCATGCTGTTTGTTAAGGCTGAAGTGGAAGGTATGAACATAATACTTTCCTCATACCCCCATGCACACACAAATATGCAACTAAAATGTTTCAATAAAATAATTTTGAAGAAATACCGTTTTTGATAACCGATGATGTCACTGCTAAATCTGTCTGCTGTTTTTTTTTGCTGTGAGTTTAATTAGAGGGGCTGGCAGATTCCTGTAACTGCTCTAGCATCCTACTTTGGATCTTCTTCCATGAATGTTATTGATGTGCATGACCATCTCTGCTGGACACTGGGTGCTGCAGACTTAACATAATTGTAAACTTTTGGAATTACAAATAAACAAAGCATATCCCCATATAAAGTGCACTTGCCTCAATCCATAGCATGTACTTTGGAATCTGGCTGTTCTTTCCTTCTGCTGAAAGCTGCATTTATTACTTCTCGCAGTTTCCCAGACACCAGGAAATCCATGATGATGGCTGCTGCCCCTTCCTCCTTTCCCCAGCAAATAGCAGGTGATTGATAGCCCCAGATGTCCATGTTCCAATGTGTGTGGGGATTGTTCTTTTCCTCCTCTCAGTTGTCAGATTACACTCAGCTCTCTGCTCTGTGCTTTGCAATGTGTGATGGCAGATCCCTGCCCTCTGCCTCCTGGATGCTGAGAAATACCATCTTCCCCGTGTACTTTAGAAGACTGTGTTGGACAGAGAGTTGCAGATAAACAGGTAAAGCTTAAGTAAAAGGATTTGTTTCATTACTGTGTATCACCTGAGGCTAGTCACCTCAGTGGGCTTATTTAAAGTGGAAAGAAACCCACTTTGGTAACGTTTACCAATAGGTAAGCCTTTAATAAAGCTTACCTGTAGGTACTATAAATATCTCCTAAATGTGTACCGTTTAGGAGATATTTACTGTAGAAGAAAATAATATGTAGGAACCTCTTGCACTTCTAAGCCTAAACTATACAGATCTATATCAGCTGCCAACATCCAATCATATACCTAATGATAAATGCAGATATAAAGAAAGAAATGATGTGACACTACTACAAGTACATGTGTGTTATATCATAAATGTGCAAAAAATCTCATATATACAATATCATATATACAAATAAATAATCAAAAAAATATATATTGACAAACTATTAATGTGATATAACCCCTAAGTGCTAATTAACAAAGTGAATGTGATTGATACGCAATCAACAATATGTGAGGAAATAAATAACATAAACGTGCATAAACAAGTGATCCAACAAATATCACTCTAAAGAAGTGTGTGCACTAAAATGCACTGAACTTGAGCTGAAAAAATACCCAATCTGGACTATAGTGTCCAATAAATCTTAATTAGATGTACAAGTGATTGTGAACCATCCAATTAATCTAAAATAGGACTTCAATAAGTGCTGTGTGCTAAACAAATAGTGAAAAAATAGTGGAAAAAACGCATAAGTGTCAAACAAATGCATAAACACATAAACTCAAAAAATCCCCTATACTGCTCAAACAATTCTAAATGAACCAAACTGGTATAACAGCATGCATAAAATGCAAATAATGACTCACATGCCCTGCAAATACATGTATAATATAATGATAAATCACACTTGTTTCAAACTCGTGTAAACACACACAAAAAAAAATGTCCAAAATGGGTGTAGACCACCATATATTCAATCCAAATAGACTCCCTTGGAATTGGGTGATATATGTGCAAGGTGACAAGGGGGCATCCATTGGTGGTAAAAATGCGTGCTCACCTCCTTGCCTCGACCCACACTGGGTGACAATGCTTTTAGGATCACTATATCTGGATCCTTCATTTATGAAACGCCTCCATAGCCGCGTCACTTTCTCCTTGGTGGTTTCCCTTTTTCAGACAGGTATATATAGTGGCAGACCTTCCCCGTAATACCGTATAGTATGGCCAGTATACTCATAATAAAATATAAGCAGAAGCTCCAATAGTGTAATTTTTTTTTTAATATCACATGTATATATCAAACAGGACCTCCAAAATGAACACTCACATTATCCTCCTTCTTGTGTAAAGCATAGATAGGAAAACCTCTTGCAATGGGTGTAGTTGCATGGGTGTACAAAGATGGCGTCCAAACCGGAAGTGCGTCACCGCGTGCCTACGCGTTACGTCACGTTAGTCATGTGACTTCCTCAGGGCTCACGTTTATGTTATTTATTTCCTCACATATTGTTGATTGCGTATCAATCACATTTACTTTGTTATTAGCACTTAGGGGTTATATCATATTAATAGTTTGTCAATATATTTTTTTTTGATTATTTATTTTTATATATGATATTGTATATATGAGATTTTTTGCACATTTATGATATAACACACATGATCTTGTAGTAGTGCCATATCATTTCTTTCTTTATAATTACTGTAGAAGCGCTGGTGATGTCACCAAGGCATGCACACTGCACTCTCAATGGATGGCGTGCACATGTGCGGAAGTGAAGACATCACAGCTCGACCAACCAGATGGCCACAGCTTGCAAACCTGAAAGGAAGTTGGGGGGAGGTTTGAAACCTTGGGGAGCTGAGACAGTGCTCCGCTGGAGGGCTTCCTTTTCAGGTAAGTCTTTCATAATGTGCTAGTATGTGATGCATATTAGCACATTATGCTCTTAACTTGCAGGGAGAATTTTTTTGGGTGGTTTACTACTGATTTAAAGCGGTAGTAAACTCTGCTATGTGACTTTTGCTTAAAGGTAAGCTTATAATAAAGCTTACCTGTAGGTAAAATGAATATGACAAAGCAGGGCTGTCTTTAACGCGGAGCTCCTTGTCATGGAGAGTCCCAGTCCGGTGGCGACGGGAGTGGGGCAGGCAGCGAAAGCCTTGGATCCTGTCGAGCTATATCTAGTCCTGGCATCAACGTCCTCGCAGTGCAGGCAGGATGAAAGCAACTTGCTATCATCCTCACAGCGGCCCCGAAGAGGTAGGCCGCAGAGGAGGCGAGCAGCAAGGATGTCTAGGACCAATAGCCCGGGAGGGAGAAGACCTCCGCCACCTCCCTGACCCCCAAAGAGGTAAGCAGCAGTGGGCGCAGAATCTCAGAGCCTTAAACATCCTACTGCTGGCATGGCAAGTACCAGGCAAACAGGGACTGGGATGGGGCACAGGAGTGACTGCAGACAGAAACAAGGCTAGGGGGTCTCTCTCTTTCATCCCCCACTCTCCTTCACCCCCTCTCTCTCAACCTCCCACTCTCTCTTATCCCTTCTCTCTCTCTGTCACCCCCTCTCATCCTCCTCCCTTTCTCACATACATCTCTCTCTCTCTCTCTCTCTCTCTCTCTCTCTCTCTCTCGCCCCTCTCTCTCTCTTTCCTCCTTCTAGTTCTCACTCCCCTTCATCTCTTTCACACCCCTCTTTCTCATCCCCCCTCTCTCTCACCCCCCCTTGCTCTCAGCCCCCCCTCACACCCCCTCTCTCATCACCTTTTCTCTCTGTCACACCCTCATCCTCCCACTCTCTATCACCTCCATTTCGCTTTCTCTCACCCCCCTTCTTTCATCCCCTCACCTCTCTCTCCCCCCTCTCTCGCTCTCACCCCCCATCTCTTGCTTTCACCCCCCATCTCTCGCTCTCTCACCCCCCTCACTCTCTCACTAAAATGCCGGGCCTATTTTTTGTCCCAGTCCGGG